AAGTAATTCCCTGGCTTGTAGAACACAAGAGCTCATTACTGCCAGTCTTGTTTAGTTATACTTAAGGACTTAGCAAAAAGACTTACCTAAACTTTCTAAGGCAAAGTCTAGTTGGCCTGTCTTAGTAGAATCATAAAACCTAATTGCATCTTGCACGATCTTCTTTGAAGTATCTTCCAAGTTTCCATATACTTCATATGAAGTGCCTATAAATAACATACATGTTATTAACTACCATCATAACTTTACTTTTATTAAACTACATTGCACAACTGACAACATAAACAAGGTTTAGTGACTTTTTTTTATGCAATGATGTTATAAACAGTCATTTTAGGCTTCCATTTCCATTAAAAGTACAAAACGTTCATGCTTCATATAAATGTAAGGGCCAGTATAACATAGTCAGTATAGCGACTGGCTATGGCCTGGCAGACTGAGGGATCGGAGTTTGAATTCTGATAGGGTTAAGAATTTTCTCTTCTGTATGTCATCCAGACCAGATCTGGGGCCCACCCAACCAATCCCATGGATACCAGGGGCTGCTTCCCTGGGGGTAAAGCAGTCAGGGCGTGAAGCTGACCACTCACCTCCAACTACTGTCTAGGTCACAAAAATGTGGTTTTATACATCCATGTCCCCAAACATCTTTATGGTGTATTGCTTAATTAGTTAAGCAAAGGGAACTTTACCCTTTTTTAACCTCCAGACAACTGTTAAATAGGCATTTTAATTAAGTATGTAAATTATGTCTGTATTAATAATTTGTCTCTGTGCTCATAAGTAATAATGTATAAGGGGTGCGCCTTCTTGGCCCTTGCACCGCGGCCACAGTGGTCTATTGTGCCTAAAAATCTCTTAAGTAATAACTCCTATGAATTTTATATTTATAACATGCAATTAATTGATAAATGCACGCAGTTCAAGCCTGGGTTTTGTTTGGTTTCATGTTGGGGATGGGTGGTTTAAGGATTCCACCCTCTACCCATACATGTTTGAAGGTTGAGAAAACAAGATATTTTTGTAACCAAATTTAATTAGAAGAGGGGCATCATGTTGGACAATTTAGCCTGTGTACTAAATCCAGTTAATTCATTTTTAAAACCCCTCTCAAGGTGAAATCCTAGGTACAGTTCTCTATGAATCAAAGGCTACAGATGAACATTTTCTTCTTGTGATACAAGGCATAATAGGTGATCATCTTTCTTCGTCTGAAGGATTGTCAGCTTGATGTATGTATATAGATGATGGAAAAATAAACTATGTACTCATATGCTTCCATGTAGCAATTTAAATAATGCAATTCCAGGTTTCTTGAAAACTATTTTACACACACATGTGCACGTGTATTCCCATTCTGCTGTAAATGTGAAAAATAAAAGAAATGGCAATATTTCAAATGCACAACAAACTTTTGTGCATATCTAAACTTACTCTGTTAGATTAATGCACTTTATTTGGAGCTTTCATTATATTAATCCATATAAACTTTTGTATATGTTATCTTCAGAAAGTGCCAGCAGAAACCAAAGGGCTTAAGCAATTCCATGTGGCTGAAAGTTTGATGTCTGCTAATTTGTTATAGATGAATACCATGGCATACTGATTTGCAGCAGGTTTTGTAGGACATGAGCTACAGCCTTGACATGTGTAACATCTCTCCCATCACTATTGCTGTAGTGCCATTGGCTCTAAGTATTTACTCTTGCCTCTTATTCACTGAAATCTGAGTAACCATTTTTCCCTCTTGCTATAGTACAGATATGAAAATACACAAAAAATATATTTCTAATAACACTGATTATGACAATTGCAGTTTTCCTGGATGTAACGCCATGTAGTCTCGTAGGAGTTTACTGATGTTACCAAACTTATCAGACTACCTGGTGTCACATCCCAGAACACAGAAATCTTCATAAAAAGTAATTATTTAGTTATAATAATATTTCATTATGTCTTACCCGTATCCAACGTTTGTAACAGATTTAAGAGATCCCTATGAACTTCACCTCTTAGTGTAAATAGTCCACTCTGTAAACATACATGTACCAAAATAAGTATTGAACATTACATGATCTATTTTTTCTATTCAATGAAGTGCACGTCTTAACAGTACTCTGTTAGTACTGTGACATGAATACCTGTTGCTATGTAACAGCTGCGAAATAAGCAACTATAAAAGAGCGGCTGCTAAGTAGTGGCAGTTGTATGGTTCCTTATTTTCCAGCCATTGCCTAGCAGTGGCTCTACATGCCACATTTACTTAAATGTACGAGGGATATCTGGTAAGTAAAGATACAAGTCCAGTAAAAAGGCAAGGGATTTTTTTTTTCAGAAATGGCAGTGCTGCTCTGAAATAGGAACAGTATAACAGGGCAGAATTCACCGGCCACAGCCACGGCAACGTTGTGCTCACAGTATGTGTTTAAAATGGCCGTGTTGATTCAAAATCCCACCAAATGTAAGGTTCATGCAGTAATTCGATTTATTCACGTGAAAGGAGAAACTGCTGCTGAAATTCATCATCAACTTGTTTCTGTTTACGGTGAAGATGTTATGAACAGGCAAAACATAGCAAAATGGTGTCATGAATTTGAAGCAGGAAGAAGTGTTGTTCATGATGAAGGCCATCCGTTGTCGCTGATGAAATCATACACAAAATATATGAAAACATTTGTGCTGACAGACGTTTAATCATTGATGAACTTCATCAACAGTGTCCAGAAGTGTCAAGCACTGTTCTCCATGGCTAAGAGAGCAGGTGGGAGATTTCTATGATGCAAGAATAAAAATACTCGTTCCCAGGCTCACTAAGTGCATTGCAATCCATGGTGACTATGTGAAAGGTAAATAAAGGATTGTTGTAAAAGTGCTACAAGTGAAAAAAAAAAAATGCTTCACAAATATTTTCTGGACTTTGTATCTTTACTTTCTGGATATGCTTTGTATAATGCCAGTCTGGACTATCACTGGAATAGTGATATCACTATCACTGATATCTGGAATATCACTGTATTCAGATATTCAAAAGGAAAAATACTACATGGAAGAGTTCAACAAGTGATATAAATGGAATAGCTCTTTGGCCTTTTGCCAAACCTGGTTCATTACTAATATGCAGTACTGTACAACCATAGTACTCTCCTTAGCAGATACCAATGGCAATGAGTATACTTGGTGAGACATGTTTCCATCCTCCCTATTCTCTCAAAGCATCTGTCTGTGATATGTGACAATTAAAACCTAATGATTTTTTGGTGCTATACCTTTAGCAGATTCAAAATTTGTTAGTATTTTTGAAATAAACATCTGATCACATTGCTGCAAAGTTTTAAAGCATACAAATTTCACGCAAGGAACTTGGAGAAAGCTGTCTAGTCTCATCACCTCTGAGTTGTACTTCTAACCCAAACCTTGTGACATCCATCATTTCCACTTTTAGGTTGTTTGTTTAATCTTGTGACATTTCACAAGATATTTTGTACAAACCCACAGAAGGAACATATTCATGTGAATTATACCACTGTAATGTCAGTAATGTTGACCACCAACAGTAGCAACTCATGTCACCTATTTCTTGCTTTAAGTGGAATTTCTTGTTTTCAATTCTGCCTAATGCCAGAATTGCATCAAAATTACTTCCAATAAGAATTCATACTGGCTATTCCCATTGCTCTAGTACTGCCCCAAAATTAATGAAATATCTGCTGCTACACATTTATTACAAAGTTTAGTATGCAGTTTTGAGTTTGATACAAACTGCATTCATTCTGTTTGAGAGATAGCTTCTTAAATTTGACCTTCTGTATTTTACAGTTCAAAATGTTATGTTATGTTTTCCTGTAGTTATCTATGTGCGCAGATAATTGAGGAGCTATTTCGAGGAAATTGCAGCTCTGTTCTAGAGAAGCGAACTTAACAGCCATGGGGATTCATTGCGCTGACCACACAACACCCTCTATCCACTAAAGTTGGCACTAACCTTGCCGACAAGAAGTGGTCACTCGGTTGGTATAGTTCGCTTGTGGACCCAAGCCATGGAGTTTGTTTTGTTTTATTTATGTGCATAACCATATTTCTCAGAATTCTGAATGGATATACGAGTATGTAATAATAATAATAATAATAATAAGAAGAAGAANGCAAAAATTCTGGTGTTTTGAAAATTATTGAATGATTTGTAACATATTGTCACATGTAGAAGATATGCAATCTCACGTGCAATATGGCAAATTGAAGTGTATGTAAATCAGCGATAGAGCTGTATTAGAGCATAATTAAGAGAGTGTGTGTAACCAAGCTGTCAATAAATCCAATCATCTGAACTAGAATCCGTCATTTCATCATGCTTACCCTCTACACGTGACATATAAGTGATTATATTCAGCTTTAGTAAATCATTTGCCAGTGTCTTCACAATTATACTCACAGACAGCTCTGTTCTGAGAAAATTTAGTTCTTGCCTAAGTACACTCATAGAGAGCTCTGTTCTGAGAAAATGTACTTCTTGCCTAAGTACACCTGTTTCCTGTTCCATATCTCTTGTGGTAGGCCAAAATAGACACACAAGATGTGAACCTACTACAGCTGGAATAAAGATGCAAAATGATTTAAATGTATGATAGAAATAACATGTTAATAAAGATTACTTATGCACAAATACCATGGAATATATTCTGCAAAAGAATGATCAGGGCAGTATGGTTGGTAGATGTCAGGCAATTAACTGACCTAAATCCTTGAGGACCATAATCCAGATTCTGAAGATATGAGAGGAAGTCCAAGTGCAATGCATGGGCAGAAGGCCCATGTACCTTCCTTATAAACCATAAATCAGCTCTTCATCAAATTATATTTGGGTGATGTGGAGTTCAAATCTCAGCCCCTGACAGCCCATCATGACCAGTCATTTGCAGTTTCTTCAGTCTCTCCAACAAAATGCCTGATGATTATCAAAAAGTAGGCTACGACCTATGCACCCAACCATTCAATGCTGTATAGCCTGAGATATTAACAGTGTGGTGAAACCACAAATGCTAAATGGATAAGATTTACATGCCCTTTTTATGCTACTGCAATGTTACTGTATTTCTATTTTAGAGAAAAATTGATTGCAACCACCAAGTTTGCTGTTGTATAATATTCTCCTTGGAATGCCTAGTCTTAACATGGATTTACGTGGAAAAAGAAAGTACTATATTTATATAAATAAGAACTAGAAGTTTGTGATGGTAACTTGTTACAATTAATATGTTGTTGGGGTAGAGGCCTTGCGACGAGCTGATCACTCGCCCAAGGAGTCCTACCGAATGTGTAAGATCTAGTAAACTGAAGTGAAACGGAGAGTTTCATGGAGGTAGGCCTAGGCCCAAATTGGGGCTGTAGCGCCACAGGATAAAAAAAAAATATGTTGTTGGACATTATCCATCATCTTGTCTATTCTTAAAAAACCGTCCTGTTTCTTTTAAAAACACAATGTTTCGGGGACTGGATTCTGTCCCTGTCTTCGGGTAAAACCTAAGCTCTGTCTATTGGACCCAACTGAGTAGGTTTTACCTGAAGATGGGGACAGAATCCAGTCACCAAAACATTGTTTTTTTTAAAAGAAACAGGACAGTTTTTAAGAATAGACAAGATGATGGATAATGTCCAACAACATATTAGTTGTAACTATATTTATGTGTTTTCACGTTGTGTCGTTTTACAGAAGCGAAGCCACTCAGCCAGTTTTTAGAACGTATGTGAATTAAAATCGTAATTAAATGACAATTTGACGCTCTGAAGGAAAGTCATACTTGAAATGCTGGAGGTACACTTACACGTTTCCCAGAATCTTACGCTTTCTACCTACAGGAAGGATGCCACTTAGATACCTTGACGTATATGGAAGGATAATATTGAAATAGATCTTAACTACAGCATGTTAGGATGCGGACTAGGTTCATCCGGCACAGAACAGGACCAAGTAACGAGCTCTTGTAAACACGGCACTGAACTTGTGTGTTCCATAAAAGGGGATGGGAATATTTCCTAACCATCTGCGTGAATATAAGTTTTCTTCCACAGAGTTGGTTCAATGAAACTCTCCTGTCATATATTCTGGGAAGTCGTGGTACCAGACTCGTCGGTTGACTTTCAACGGACTACACGGAATTACATCCCGGAAAATAGTATTGTTCAGACCTTCTGTCATAACCTTTCCGGCTGACATAATATAAAATTCAAATTCACACCCGAAAAATCGGCCACAATAAATATTAAAGCACAAGATGACAAAACAGTTTTTAAAACTTTAAATTACGCAATATTTGTCAGAAGTGCATTTACGAATACCATAAATAAATTACCTTAAGTTTAATGGCGAGTTTGTAAAGCCGTTCTTGGAAATTGTAACTGTAATACTTACCAATGATCACTACTAAAAAAATATGGAGGAACACATGAAGAATGGAATCACGTCTTCCTAGTGCTTTGTTATTCGCCATAATACCAATTTGTTCTCTTGTTTGCAAAAACAAAATTATATTGACGCGTGTTAGTGACTAGACGCAGGGCGTGTACAAAATATTGTATGCACTGAACGCTTATTGCTTGCGATTACGGACAGTTGCAGCACAAGACTGTTCTGCACCCTCCACAAATAACTAGAGCACACTTCAAGCATTCCCAGTCTCCTGTCTTCACTAGTCGTTGCTTGGTAACGGCTTCTACTTCTGTAATCACGACTCTTTATTGTTGTCAGAAAGCAGAGCGTTGCTACGGTTACTACCATCGTTAACAGACTAGCAGCCCATAGAAAATCGTCTAGCAGAAATGGAATAATGTGAAACCGCAATTTGCACAGACCACTACTACCATCTATTTTCCTCTGCAGAAGTTGTCGTTTATTTGTATTCGCTAAATCCGAGACCCACGTGAAGTTATTCGTCGCGCTGCTTAGGAAATACGCGGCAATATACACACGGGGTAACAGTCGCATTGTGACTTTGACTTTGACTACCGTGAAATGGTAAAACACCATCTACATCACTCAGTAACCACGAATGAAATAAAAGAGGAACTAGAGAAACAAGGTCATATCGTCACAATATAGCAAACGTCAGGCATCATAAGAAACAATGTCTTTGTTTTTCATAGACCTAGAACCTAAAGAAAACAATAAGAGCATATATGAAATGAAATACTTATGCAATATGGAAATAACAGTGGAAGCCCCAAGAAAGAAAAACGACATTGTACAGTGCACAAGATTTCAGTGCTGCGGTCTTACAGAAACATATCGCGCTAGACCGTATATATATTATGTTAAATGAGGAGGCGAACACAACACAACCTTCTGTAAAAGAATCCAAATACTACAGCAAAAATGCGCACTATGCGGATGAAACCACCGGGCCAATTACAAAGTTTTTGACATATATAAAAACTTACAAAAAACGAGAAGCAAAACAACAGTTCAACCACGACGAAACTTCACTCAGTCACATAACACAAATATTAACATCAACAATAATAACCAATTTCCTCCTTTAGAATTCAATCAACCTCCAGTCCCAACTCCAGCAAATCGACAGAGTCCCTATTCCAAAATATGCACACGAAACCTGCAGTCATCCAACATATCAGAGCAGCTCTCAACCTTCTTAAATGAATTCAAAGCTATGTTCAACCAATTAACCAATCAAAACAGCTGTATTAAATATGCTAAGCACCCTTAAAAACAAAATTGACCAATAATGGAAAATTCGCTACGAATTTGACTCTGCAATGCCAACGGGCTATCAAACCACAAACTAGAACTGCAAAACTTCATACAAATACATAAAATAGATATTGCATTAATATCAGAGACGCATTTCACTACTGGAGCAATGTTTAAAATACTGTCACGTGTCCGGGTATCCATGACAAATAATTACTGGTTTACGGCTTTAGACGAAGCTGTTTATTGAAGAATTACGCCAGGCGGAACTACAGACAATTATCACACACGATAATAATAACACTTCGTAACTGCGAACAATTATCACACTCTAATGTTCGTTGTAACTACGCCACACGAAGACTTCTGTCAGTTCTCCTCTTGCTTCTTTCGCTGATCACTGATCCCATCTCCTCTCTGGTCTGATATTATCTCACTTCTTAGCTTATCTGCCGCAATCTACTATTTTAAAAGTAGATCTTCGCGTATTGCTGAGAGAACACTTTGTGCAAGGGTTCTCTTTTTCTTCGACGCAGCGTTGGCTAGCGTATCCATTGCTGCAGGAACTCAAACAATTCTGTCTCTGTTGCCTAGGCAATTTCCTAGGTAGCGATGTGCCTACGTATTCGTTGCCTAGGAACTGCTAGCTGTTGACTAGCAATGGATGCAGGTTTACACGCAGTGTCTTTACCGTCTTTACAGTGCGTTACCTAGGAAGTGACACTTCTCTATGCAGTGGGTTCAACCTGTAACAATATCATACTACAAATTCTACCATGTTCCTCACCCAGAAGAGATACCAAATTTTCAGTATTCATTATATTTCGTTGGTGTCTCCGCCTTATTGTGGTGAGGAGGTTTGAGTATGCCAAGGACCCTGAGAGCTATACCAGCGGTAGCGTAGCTACTGGCAGGGCCTCCCTTGCTGGACAGGTCAAAGGGTTGGCATCAGACGAAGAGAGACACCAAAAACCAAAAACTGATGCCGGAAACAGCGTCATGAGCAGCGACTTGAAGCACAAAGCAAATGATGCTCGAGATGGTTCAAGTTCGTATAGCAACAGGTGTGACCAGAGTGGTTTGAACTGCTGTTGTACTGCGATGGGGAAAGCAAATGGAAAAACTACCACATTATCACTTTTCCTGGATAGTCTCTTTCCAAAAACAGAAGATCGCATTAAGTGGAGGAACTGTTTTGGAAGAGACTGCGGACTTGTTGTCTGACAGATTACTGATGATGATGATGATATTATTATTTCTGCCATATTATTCTGCCCAGTACTGAAATGGTGAAGATGAATATATCATATTTTCTTATATCATTAAATGCAGTCTTAATCTTGTTGACAAGAGTGTATTTCACATTCTTGAATTCCATCATTCTAATGAAAATAATAATAAATGGGGACATGAGTATTGTTGCTTTGAATACTTGATTTATAATACTTAAATGTAACCGAAAAAATGTGTTCTGTATGGCATTCAAGTGTAAGTTATGAGGAAATTATGGGATTTAATATATTGTGACATGGATGGCGTAGCGGGAGGTGGGGGTCACGTGAACTCTGTGATCTCGCGAGTATCTCTGATGGAAACAGAATTTTCTTTCAAGTTTCCCCACCTTCAGCTTTCCTAAATACAAGTATTCCATGTATGTTACAGTTCACAATGTTCAGTGCCTTTGGTTAAAGAAGTGTTTCATGTGAAAGAAAGGTCATGACTTTCCAAGCACTGGTGAGAAACTTTCTCCAGATATATAATTTGCAACCTAATCTCTTGTATTCCAGAGCTGCAGAGGCTCTTATTCCGTTATTTTTCTTTTTTGGAAAGGGTGGGGGACCAAGGTTAATAGCACTTCACTCAAATCAAACCCAAAGGATATGGGTGAAGTGATACTGAACTTACTGATGGAGCTGAGCCCTTCTTGAGAACCCTCCAATTATGCAGCCACTCGATTCTAAGGTTCATTACTGTGTTCACAAGAGCACTCGACTGGTCCCTATCCTGAGCCAGATAAATCCAATCCATACCATACCATCCTATCTCTCTAGGATACATTTTAATATTTTCCACCCACCTACATCTTGGTCTTCCCAGTGGTTTCCTTCCTTCCAGCTTTCCCATCAACATCCTGTATGCATTCCTCTTCTCCTTCATGCTACATGCCCTGCCCATCTCATACCTGACCTGATCATTCTAATTATACTTGGAGAAGAGTACAAATTATGAAGCTCTTCATTATGCAATTTTTTTCCAACCTCCTGTCACTTCATCTCTCTTCAGTCCAAATATTCTCAACACCCTCAGTCTCTGCTGCTCCCTTAATGTCAGAGACCAAGTTTCACACCTATACGGAACCATAAGCAAAATTATAGTTTTGTACATTCTAACTTTTATATTTTTGAACAGCAGATGAGAAGATGAAAGGTTCTGAACTGAATGGTAGCAAGCATTACCTGAGTCCAATCTCTTCTAATTTCCTCCTGAATCAGGTTATCATTTGTTATAGTCATTCCAAAATATTTGAACTGTGCCACATTTTAAAAACATTTGTTACCTATCTTTATGTTATGATTTTGCCCTGCATTTTGGTGGCAAGACAGCAACATATATTTAGTTATCTCTGTGTTTACTTCTAGGCCAAAAACCTTACTATTGTCAATTAAAGTTTGTATGTTTCTCTTTATGGTGTCTGTATTATCACCCAATAGATTCACATCATCAGCACAGACCAACAGCTGATGTTTCCCATTTAATTTCAGTCCACCTAGTTTTCCTGGACCTTCTTAATGGCATATTCTAAACCAAACATGAAAAGCAGTGGTGATAAAGCATCTCCTTGTTTCAGACCATTTTGGATAGGAAAATTATCAGACAGATGTTTACCTATACAGACTTTACCATACATTTCGTTTAAACACATTTTAGTCAGCCAAACTAATATCATGGGTACCTCAAAATCTATCAGAATATTGTACAGTACTTCCCTCCTAACTGAATCATAGACAACACCTCTTGAAGTCATTTATTTCTCTATACAGATCTCTAATGTTCTTGTTCTTACTATGCATTTCAAGCTCATCAGTTTTTTTTCCATCAGATATTCCCTCTTTTTATTCCTGAAATGCCATCATATATTGTTCACATTATCCCCATTTATTTCGCTGGATCCTGTAACCATTGCAATTTGGCTTTATTCCTTTAATAATTTTGAACATCCTTCATCAAACCGTGGCTTATGCTTCTTCAGTTCACAATAACCTAGATTCTCTTTGGCAGAAATTTTAATATTCTCTCTAATAGTTTCCCAAACTTTATTAACATCAACCTCAGTTTCCAAGTTTTCCAAAGCTGCAAACCTATTTGATATTTCAACACGATACTGCTCTTTACCCTCTACCTCATTTAATTTCTTGAGTGAACCTCTCCATATGAACTCTGTGCATTGTTTGTTTACCCACTGCCAGTCTTTCCCTAATCTTTGCCACCACCAGGTAGTGGTCAGTATCACAATTTGCTGTCCTGAATGATTGGACATCAAGTACACTTGAATGCCACCAGGTGGGCCCCTTGTCACCACAGCATGGCGTCCTCAGGTAGCGGATGGAGGAGACGCTGCGAATATACTGAATAAGCAGTCACGGACAGCCGACAAGGGATGGTCCTCCAGCTTGGGGTTGGGTGTGAGGCTAACAAATCTTCACCATAAAAATAAGCTTGGTATGAAGATTATCAACAAGCCTCAGACCTGGACAGATTCCTTGGATAAACGACCCATGAAACATGTTATATTTGATGCTATGAAATTTAGAATGTCCACAACTGAGGAAGAAAAATTTTCATTTGGCCTGACTTTGACAGTTCAGTGTTTACAATTTTAACAACAAAATAATTATTTCCAATATTGAACTATATGTTTTCTGATGCCTTGTGTTCAGAAGGCAAATACAGGGATCTTTTACAATGTTCCATCTCTGTAGGAATTAAAGGAATAATTATCTGGAGAGAAGTCTGATGTTTAGTACCTAGGTGATTATAGGCAGATGGATAATGCTTTTGTCTAGGGGGAAAGGAGGATCCATTCCTTTGCCATGCACTTCAAACATCACTAGAGACTGTTAAAATTCACCATGAAAGCAACCACAGTCATATTGCAGTTCCTTTGGACACGTAGTATTTGATAGCACTGTTTGCTGCCTGCCTCCATTCATTTATTACATAAGAAGGATTTTGAGAAACAGAGTTACCTCTATGTGTCTCCTGATTCCTCTATTAACATCAGTATTTTAGACAATAAGTTGTCAATTTTGTGAGTCTGTGTGTGAACACCATGCCATCTTGGTGCTTTATAACTTTATTTCATTAACAATAAAAACATGATGTAGGTAAGTCAATAATTATCCACAGTGTAGCTATAAATTTTATTTCGATACAAATAGAAAACATACATTAATATAAGTTTTTTAATACAGTCCCCTTGCTTTTCAACGCACTTGGTCCATCGTTGCACAAGCTTCCTGATGCCCTCAGAAAAGAAGGTTTTCGGCTGAGTAGCGAGCCACACATGCACTGCTTCCTTCACTTCTTGGTCTGAGGTGAATCGACGGCCCCTTAATGCCTCTTTGAGTGGACCAAACAAGTGGTAGTCAGAAGGGGCGAGATCAGGACTATATGGAGGATGAGCCATTACATCAAACTTGAGTTTCTGGAGGGTTTCAGCAGTGTGAGCAGCAGTATGTGGACGGGCATTGTCGTGCAACAACACAACACCTTTCGACAGTAGTCCTCGGCGTTTGCTTTGAATTGCAGGCTTTAGCCTGTCAGTAACCATCTCACTGTAACGAGCACTGTTTATTGTTATGCCCCTCTCCTGATAATGTTCCAGTACTGGGCCTTGTGAGTCCCAAAAAACTGTAAGCATCAGTTTTCCTGCGGATGGTTGGCTTTTGAACTTTTTCTTGCTGGGCGATTGTGGATGTTTCCATTCCATACTCTGCCGTTTACTCTCCGGCTCGCAATGATGGATCCATGTTTCATCACCAGTGATGATTCTGTCTAAGAAGACGCCACATTTGTTACCATAGTGATCCAAATGTTGTTGGCAGATGTCCAAGCACATTTGTTTATGCAACACTGTGAGTTCTTTTGGGACCCATCTTGCACAGACCTTATGAAACCCAAGTCTGTTGTGGATGATTTCGTAGGCAGAGCCATGACTAATTTGGAGATGATTTGCCACTTCATCAATAGTCACTCGTCTGTCTAACAGAACCATGTCACGTGCATGCTCAATGTTGTCCTCATTTGTGGCCGTGGATGGTTGTCTGGCTCCTTCCTCATGCATAACACTTGTGCAACAATTTTTTAATTTTTCAATCCATTCGTAGACACTCCGTTGCAGCAAAACACTCTTCCCGTATTGTCCTGAAAGTCTTTGATGGATTGCGGCCCCTGATAATCCTTCTGACCACAAAAACCGAATCACTGAACGTTGCTCTTCTTTGGTGCAAACAGAAAGCAGAGCAGCCATGATTAACGGCAAGGCAGTGACGATGGAACTGACCTAGCAACATCAAACCTGCGTAGAAATAATGACAAGGAAACCACGCATGTCGATGCTGCGCAAAATGACTGTGCTGCCAACAGAAACACAAATACAACTGCATTGCGGATAATTATTGACTTCCCCTCGTATATGTGGAACTTCTGAAATAGAAGCAACACATGTAGACCTTGAGCTATGTGCAATATCTGTCTCCAGATTCAGCACATACATTTGTGGGAGCATCCCCACAGCGTCTGACAGACAACCGTCACCCCTTTCAGAAAGTGCCAAACAGGCAGCTGTGACCAAAGAGACACGGACTTTATACCCTTTCCAACTACTGCGACTTATATACCAGCTACATATATTTATAAACTTCACCATGGCCCCGCCTTTCCGTGCACGGCCCAATGGATGCACACCGTGACAACTGCAACTTTAGCTCCACCTCCCGGCCGGTAGTATTTAAGACCGGAAGCCCAAGGTGCAAGGAGTTCAACTCGAAACGGCAACACAGAGGCATCAACTCCACTTCTGCTACCGGGCAACTGACTTAGCTGCCGTGAGCCTTCGGTGAACGCATATCCCGCAACCCAGCAACCGGCCGATCCAGTCGATCCTACCGGCACGCTCAGCACTGCATCACCGCCCAGACAGGCCAGCCAATGCTTGAATATTATACTTGTATTCTGTGTCCTGTATATTGACTTTAAACAATTCAATATATACAATCGTACAGTTTCGTGTGGTTTGTCTATTGGAGTATTGACGACAATCCCACACATTAATACTATAGATTAATTGGGTGATTTTAGTGAAATTCTGATTGAACATCATGCCAGTGGAGATCTTGACCTTGGTACCATTTATCTGTTTCTTAACAATACCAATATGACATTTAAATGAACATATATTTTGATTACTGAACTTAATTGTAAATAACCAAGAAAATTTTCAGACTGATTCTGCCATACACAGTATTAATACAAGGAATAAGCACCACCTTCATAGACCCAACTGTCAATTGCCAGTCTCTCATGTTATCAGAAGTGTGCACACTCTGTCCACATGAAATCTGTCAACAATCTATACCGTCTGGTCTCAAAAATCTTACAAATGAAAAGGTACAATTTAACACATTCAGGACCGGAGGGGCCAATTGGCCCCCTACGTTTCTATAGCGTTGCGGACCGGGCGGGCCAATTGGCCATTTTCTGATGCGTTATGTTGCAACCGACTATATCTCGCTGTGTGGCCACGTTGCATCATAACTACTGCGTAGTTGACCTTGGGAATGTTTGCTGGCTTAGCCAGTAACATGATCACACTCATTTCCTGTCACACCCTAAAGAAAAAACTAGTCTGCAACGTGTTAAAACATCACTAAGATGCTTACATACACACATCATTTCTGAATGAATTCACAGTGGGAGCTAACTCTTCTGTCAGACCTACAGTTGCAGACTTCTTGTTGGAAGCAACATTTAGGTCAACTACACACAACCTAACAAGGCAAAAACATGGCAGTAAATTTTAAAGTCATTTGGAACATTCATTAATACAAACATACCACCAATTTCAGCAGTAATTAGAACAAAAGTGGTACCTTTAATGCAATCAAGCATTTTATTTAGATTTCCTGCAAATATAAAGCACAAACTGTATTGTAAAAATACATGCCTGGTACATCTTCATTTATCACTTCAAATAGCAATGTTACGAAATGCCATGGAAGCATTTTGCACATGTAAATCTTAATCTTATTACCCAAATTATTTTTCTACTGTTAAAGTTTTGATTTCATACATCAATAATCAAACTGTTCAAGGTGGCACAAACCATATCTTTCAGCAAGCACCATTTTGGATGAATGTGCAATCAACATGCAGTGTTGTCTCCTGCAGTCATCAGTAGAAGTAACAATGCAACAACATGCACATTAAGACTGTTACCAAGTATGCGGTAAGACTGTTTTATTGTAACATCACTAGGTAAACTGAAAGCTTGATCAGGAAAACACATAAGTCTTGCCACTTCACGGTGTGTGAAATAACGCAGCCCAAGCCCCCTCAGTAATTCCAACTGTGCACCAGTATCCCGAGAATGTAAATGGCTCTGTTCAAATGCATTGGCAATTACATCTGGTGATGCTGGAGAAAATACAGAGCCAGTTCCTTCTACATAATGTCCATATGCTTTTGTAAAGCAGCAAGATCTTGTTGAATGCGGCCCAACGATGTCCAGAAGCCATGCATACTTTTCTAACACTCTGTCTGGCACATAAAACTGTTCAAAGTAGTTTGGTGATTTATCTGTCTCTAAAATATGGTTTAAATAATAGCATGTTCCTTCAGAGGTCTTTGGGTTTCCCTGAACTAGACACTTATGCTTTGAATTTAATGCAGCCATCTTCTCATATACTGTTCCTGCAAAGCTGCAGGCTGTGTTTAAAGGAACAGGCAGGCTTTCCATCTACATAACAAAAAAAGATAATCTTTCAGATACTAACTACATACAAATGATAGTACGATAGTATAGTATACTATGTATGATAGTATACTAGTACGCACATCCAATTAAGGAGAATTCTACAAATAATGCAAAACAGAAATAAAGTAAAGTACACTATATGTTTAGAGTGGAGTGTCCTGCATTATGACAGCATGTATTCTTTTAGGTGGTTACCAGCATTTCAATCAATCAATATATTTGTTCCAAGAATCCATATTTGGTGATACAAACTCCTGATATAGGACAAGTCAGCAACTACATATTAAAATAACATACATATTGTACATGAGTCAATTATACTGTAAAACATAACTACCTAGAGATTTCATACACATCACTCATACAATACATCATCCCACTTGCAATTCAATAACCAAAACAAAGTCTGTATCCCAAATTTATATATTTTTTAAGCCATCAGATATAGAACACGTCACATACATATATTAGTTCCGGGCACAGAACCACTTACCTTACAATAGCATTCATAAAAGATACAATAATTATACATAATTTCATAGGAACATCCTACCTTCACCTTGAAGGTAGAAATGAAATGGTCAAAAACCGTTTATTCAGAGTACTTATGGAGTTACAAATAATGAAATATTCAAAACATGAATAAAAGATGGTATATACCTATTTTGACATCTTATTACCATGTTAACATTCCCCTCGGAACATAACATTCTCCTCACACCTACAGATTTTGTTTCTATCATAATGATGCCAAGGCGAGCCCAAGATTAAGTAAAATTTAGAAGTTTAACCACTGGACGCGTAACTCAGAATGTCTGGTTTGTATGAAATATATATGAATCTCATAATGAAGCAGATCCAGCTGTTCTCATGACATTCATAAAGGTAAAGATGTCCCTGTGCTTAACTAATTAAGCACTACGCCATGAAGATGTATGGGGAAGTGGATGTTTAAAGCCCAGGTTTTCTAGACCCTGGCACTAGTTGGAGGTGAGTGGTAAACTTCACGCCCTGGGGAAAGAGTCCCCGGTATCCATTGAATAGGAGGGTGGGTGAACTCCAGAGCCAGTCTGGACAATGTGGAGAAGAGAAAATTCTCGACCCTACCAGGACTCCAACTCTGACCCCCCACCGTCCAGCCCGTAGCCAGTCGCTATACCAGCTCCTCAATACATTCATATGCCTACCAAATATAAGAAACACCTAGAATAATATACTTACAATATGAGGCTGCAGTGGGAAGTTGAAGTAAAGAGGCCTTCTCTTTGCAATGAGGTAGTACCGATGCCGGGTATTGGGAATTGAGAACATGGATGGACTAAGAATAAACTGCTGGTAGCAGAAGTCCAAATCCTCAAGAATTTTAATTAGTGCTTTGCAAGCTTCAGATTTCTCAAAGCCTTTTACATTTTCAATGATTAAATATTTCCACTTTGTATTAAGATGTGGAAAGATACGTAGAAGATGGATAAATGAACAAGTTCTATTGTCTGATATGTCTCTCTTCAAACCAACCCTGAAAAAAAGTAAAACCCATTCAACATATTCCAGATGGCAATATTTTCTCTTATCAAATCTTCTAAAATGTATCAAATGCTTACCTTGTAAAAGGTTGACATGGAGGACTCATGAGAATCGTATCAATATCATAGCCGTTTATTTCATCCACTGAAAGAGACTGAATATTCCTCTGTAATAATTTTGTATCAGGAAAATTATGTTGATACACTTTATTGGCTATGGTGTTGATATCCACAGCTACCTTTACTTCACCAATAATACCACTTTCTGAAATGACAGAGATTAATGGATGGACACATAGGTTACATCAATTTCATTGAAAGTATCAATATAAACCTACTTTTACCAAGCAGGATGGTGTAGCATTAACACTCTAGACTGGTATTTTGGGATGTGCATGATTTGAATATTGGCAGGTTTCTCTTGGTTTTCCTCAGTCCATCCAGAAACCACTTCCTGTTTCCACATAGTACCTTGATTAGGCCATAACCACTTCCTGTTTCCAATTCGCCAAGCATTCCACCATTTGATGCTACACGGGTTGAGATGCTGTGCCACAGCAAAACAAATGGAAAATAAAAACATTTTGCCCAGCGACCTCTTTTTAATATTTCAGTTTTTGTACATACTTACACATCATGAAAATAACATACATATTAACAGAACACTGAATTTAAATTTCCTAAGCAGAAGTTCAGTTAGGTTTTTAGATGGTGTATAGATTTATCTGTGATCCATTTAATGAGACTGTAAAAAGAGCTGGCTGTTGAATAATAGGATTAGTGAAGAATGAAATGGAGGTAATGTGAAAGAGAGTGATCATGAGCTAGTTTGAGGTTCCATCCTGGTATTTGCTTTTCTTTTCCCCACAGCATCTACACCAGCTGTGGGGTTCAGCTAGCCTCTCACCAAATAGGCATTACATAGTCAGGGACTTGGGTATTTCTGCGGAAGATTGGCCCAAGCCCAGGCCTTATGGAGCCCAGATTTTACATACTTACTTATGGAGCTGAGCCCTTCTTGAGGAGCTGCCAAATCTACTGCTATTCAAGAATTTCCCAGCATGAATGAACCCAAAGGTTCATTACCCTGTTCACAATAACCCTCCACTGGTCCCTATCCTGAGCCAGACCAATGTAATCCATACCATCCCATCCTAAAGCAGCCTCCGTAGTCTCATGACTCAAGGTACGCGGGTTCAAACCCGGCGGTGGTCGTGGAATTTTTAAGGGCGGAAAAATTCAGGGAACAAGTCCTCCGGGACGGACTTTAAGCCGTGGGTCCTGTGTTGTAGATTTATGGCACATAAAAGATCCTCATGTCTCTAGCAGACCTCTGAGCAAAATTAGGCAACNGCCAGTGGTCTCTTTCCTGCTTGCTTTCCCACCTGTACCCTATATGTATTCCTCCCCTCCCCCAATCGTGTTATATGCCCTGCCCACCTCATCCTCCTTGACTTGATCATTCTAATTATGCTTGGAGAAGAGTACAAGTTATGAAGCTGCTCATTATGCAGTTTTCTCCAACCTCCTGTAAATTCTACATACTGCAATTTTTATCTCAGCCATAAAGATAATAAAACGTGACTTCAAGACTATCTGCAGTTAAGCTGCGCCTGAGCACCCTGAAATGTCATTAAACTAACAGTAACGGTAGGTATTATTTCGAAAGGTTCAACTTCAGTTGGTTACATTTACACGCGCACAGAAAAGGTTATGAGGTTATATACTGATAGTCTTCATATACATATTATACTATACCTTTAAAAGCAAAATGCATCCCGCCTATACCGCTATATAATTCTAAAACCTTCATTTTTTATAATGACCTTTCAAAGATTCAATCGTTAAGACTTCAAAACCAAATTTTTAAACTCAGCTTGATGTAAACCCTAATGAGAGGCCATGCGATAGTTCGAGATAGGAGATTATGTCAAAGAATTCTGTAATCCTGGCAGCTGATAAGCAGATGTATAGAATAAGCTACATTTATACCATAATTCATGTGTTTCGATAATAATATAGATGGATATATTAATGTATTTTGATCTACATGATAAAATAAAAAGGGATGAATGTAAGGTATCGATAAGAATTTTGACAGCTATTCCGCGAATTTTTCGTGATGCGCTTTAACACGCTTAGCAGGTGCCAGCGATAGTCACGTGATAAGAATTGTAACGTTGGTAACCGTTGGTAACGTTTGTGATGTCATTCTTGTAGCGTGAATTATTAGGAAGAAATGTGAAGCAGACTTTCTAATTTTCATACATTAATAACACTAGTGCACTAGTTTGTTGCATCATAAACCCCATAAACAATCAAAATCAGCCTGTAGTTGACTTTGTCGTATTATGCATTAGAAACCAAAATAAGTAGCTATGGGCACTTTTTGCGTGCTGTCGTGACACTTTTTAATATGAAATTATTAGTATAACTTTTAATTTTGTTACTGTGAATGTAAATAAGCAGTCATGTTTCGAAGTAGAAGTTGGTTTGGTAGCGGACTGTGGAAACCCAAAAATCCACATTCTTTGGAACATTTGAAGTGAGTAAATTGTACAGTTTTATCTAATCACATGAACAGCAGTGTAGTGATTTACATGACATTTAATCTAAAATGCTGTTCATAGGTACCTGTATAATGTCTTGGCAAAGAATCAGATCGTATCGGAGAACAACCGTGGACTCTTGGTTGAAACACTGAGATCTATTGCAGAAATACTCATCTGGGGTGACCAAAATGATAGTAGTGTTTTTGAGTAAGTAGCTTCCCAAAAAGGTCAGATATTAAACTTGTTTTCACTTGACATTACCAATTATAGAGACACATGAAAAGTTAAATAGTTCCGTCTAGTGTGACTGGTGAAGATTTTTCTTGTTTCATTTATTTATGCCCTTCCTTACATGTTTCGGTCTTCAGAGACCGTCATCAGAGGGACACCTTTACATCAATACAGTTAGAATCTACTATTACAATATATAACTGTATTGATGTAAAGGTGTCCCTCTGATGATGGTCTCTGAAGACTGAAACATGTAAGGGCATAAATAATTGAAATAAGAAAAATCTTCACCAGTTACACTAGACAGAACTGTTTAACTTTTCATGATATTATTAGTGTGATGGACCAGAATGAAACAAATCAAACTATATAGATACAGGTTATATAATCTATAAGCATGTAAACAGTGAAGAATGTTATAAAGAATTCTTATTCTGATTCCAATTATCACACTGTTATTAAACTATTGCAAATGGCCAGATACTAATCCAAAATTTAAAGAAATTTGATGAATGTGGCGGTAGTACATGAGGTATGATTTTTGTTTTTATGACTGTTGAAGGTTAACTTAAGGCCACAATACTGAAAGTTGTATAAAATTAACCAGCCCCATTATTACAGAATGGCCACATTGGATGCATTGTTTATTTCATCATAATTAATTCTGTTCCTCTCCAAATCTTCATATGTGTCTGGATGAATAATTATTATGCCTACAGTGGATGGGGAAGGAGCAGGTTTTCATTCATTTTGAAGCATGCTGTGGAATTTTTCACTGTTGTAATGTTGTTGTGTTTAGTTTCTTAACAATGCTCTTAGTAATTCAAGGCTATATGATGTCAAATGATAAGATGGCAGTGAATAATCAGCTGGAAGGAATTCAGAAGGAAGGTGTCATGGTTTAATTTAAGGTACTGTGGCAGCTTTTGCCTGAAGAAACTGAGGAAAATTACAAAACAATCAGGTTAGACAATATCCTAGCCAAGGCTTGAACATGTACTTCCTGAATGCAAGTCAGAAGCATTATTAATTGAGCCATCTTCCTCATTTATGTTTTATGTATAAGGGAAACCTGTTTCTTAGCAATCTGACCATCTGCTTTTGTCCAGCAGAAATAGTTTAATATTTTCAACTTCAGTGTATTCTTGTTCTTGTAGTATAATTTGTATATGTTGTAAGCTTAGATAGCACTTTATTTTCTTATTCCATATTAGTGTATTTACAAGGAACTGTGTGTTGTACTTTCCTTTGTTCTATAGCTTCTTTTTGGAGAAAAATATGCTTTCATTCTTCTTCAAGATAATGAAGCAGAAATGTGGCAGCTATGTATGTGTTCAGTTACTGCAGACATTGAACATACTTTTTGAAAACATTCGGAATGAAACTTCTCTCTGTAAGTAGTTATTCCTGGAACACAAATTGAAAGTGGAAAGGTCATGTGCATAATATTATTCTTATAGAAATAGTGTAATTAACATGGGAATTAAAATACAAAAAGCTTGCCCCCTGAATTAAAAAGAATAGAAAACTTTAATTTTTTTAAAAATAAATTAAAAAAGTTATTTATTACAAAACTGTTTTTATTCTCTGCAGGAGTTTTTTTAATAACAATGATGGTCGGTAGTTTGGTGGCTCGGTTTGGTTCTGATGTGGTGTGGTTGTATATAGATGGTCTAAGTGTATGCGTTGCTTTATATTGGATTGTTGTGGGATGTCATCCTAAGTTGATAGCTTCAGCAGGTGGACAATGATTCTAAGATCCCCGCGTCTTGTAGTGCACTCAATTTCATATGTCGCTTCTTACTACATGTTTCGGCAACATAGTGCCATCTTCAGGTTCATTATTTATGCTAAGCTATTACAGTGTTTGCCATTATTCGTCAACTATAATAAAATTTGTATATACTAAAACTTGTTAACACTGCGAACCCCGCGCCCTTTAAAAGATTTTTCGCTTTTAAACATGGCGGACCAGTGGCATATTATTGTGACTTTAGGACACATTATGTTGAAACACTATACCTTGCTCTGGCGCCGCCACGCAACTGCAATGAATGCTGCGTAATAAATCTTCGGAATTTATGCTAGGTATTCAGTAACTTGACCTGGTTTGCTAGAGTCCCTACTCCAAAAGAAAATAAACTTTGCCCCTTCCAGCTGTTTATGTACCAGGCAGAAATTAGTAGAGGGGAGTATGTTTCAAGGACAAAAGGGGTTGAAGGCAAGCGATCTCTCAGACTTGTTTATGGAGCTATCTGCTGTGCCTTGTGGAGGAGTAGTGATTAGTGACTCAGACAGTGGAAGTGACGGGGGTCAACAAAGAATTGTGGCCACAGATAATAAAAGTGAATGTTGCCTTGTGGCTTATAAATTGTGCCATTTTCAATTCATTTTTGGTTTACAAAAATCTAAACCCTGATTCTGAATTGAAATACAAAGCATTTCTGATGAATGTGGCAAAGGCTTGGGCTGCAGACCAGATGGTGGCGGCAGGACCAGAGTCAGACAGACTTAGTGCGACCTAGCCCATGAACTCCCACCCCACGCAGGCCTCATGTGGACACCCCTGGGCGACTCTGAGGGGGGGGGGGGACATGCAGTAACATACCCTCCTGAAAATTGTGAAGAGTGAACATTCCAAGGGGAAGCATCCTTCTAGGCAAAGTTTGCGCAGTTCACAAAAAAAGGACTATGACTGTCTACATTTGAAAATGTATAATGCCACTTCACAAAGGGGAATGTTTCCAGGAATATCACACTCTCAAGCACTTCTAGGAGAATTGGTAAGTGTTCTCCAAAAATTATAGTTCATAAAATTAATTCGGGGATTTTATATTAATTTTTAAAGTGAACAGTGCACAAGTTAGAGTAGTAGGTATAAAAGTGCCGGCCCCCAGGGTGATTTAAATATTTAAATCGCCGGTCCGCAAAGTATTAAGATTATTCATCTATATGTCTAAATTCAAACTCGCGTATAGTATGGTTCGTCCACTATGGGAGTCGTTTCTGTGTGTGCTGTGTCTGTGATGTGTCCTTCCTTTTTGGCTCCGAGCAAATAAATTATGAATTATGAAATCTTTTGTTGGCATTGCATGTTTGGTGCCCTTATTTGGTGATATGAAGCGCAAAATGAAAGTAAGATATTTTTTAAAGTTTTACACTGCATTTATACATCACAATCATTTACCAACAGAGATACAAGGGGCTACAAATTGATGCAAGGAGAAATACTTGCAATTAAAATGCTTGAAAACAATGAAGCTGTATGTTGACAGCTGTCAACATACATATCAAAAGATTTATGAACATATCAGATTCATCATTCGTGGTGGAAGCTATTTAAATACAGTCCACCTAGTGACACATGAGACTTAAGCAGTTGAAGATGTGATGCGTTCTTTATTCTGAATGATATAAAATATCTCATTCAAATTTATTTGAAATTCTTAATCTCTTCATAAGGGAAGTTACACATTACTTGAATGTCTGATAATCTCAGACCATTTGGTGATTCATTCATTCATTCATCAGTAATCTGTCAGACGACAGGTCCACAGTCTCTTCCAAAACAGTTCCTCCACGTAATGCGATGTCAAGCTTTTTCTTTCAATTAAAATATCCTCTTCTGTCCCCAAGGTCATCCAGCATCTTCTTACTTCTTCTTCCTCGTCTTCTGGGCACTTCTATCCGCCCCTCCGGTTTGTTTTGTCTCCAGAGGAAACATCTCGCATACATGGGAGTCTCTGTTTTTGGAAAGAGACTATCCAGGAAAAGTGATAATGTGGTAGTTTTTCCATTTGCTTTCCACATCGCAGTACAACAGCCGTTCAAACCACTCTGGTCACGCCTGTTGCTATACGAACTTGAACCATCTCGAGCATCATTTGCTCTGTACTTCAAGTCGCTACAGATGACGCTGCTTCCGGCATTAGTTTACACTTCAGAAATTTATTTCTCCCAATTTTTATTGTTTTTTGATGATTTAAAAATGTTTCGTTTCAATAATTCCGCTAAAGAATGCGAATTACAGTCCGATATCGACTTTGCACAGAAGTTTTGCACTGACAATTATATGAAAATTAAATTGCTTAAAACCAATATACTGCTACTCGTAAAACTAAACGCATACATTTTAATTACCATGTTGATGATGTACTTATCGTAAGAATTTATTAAATTAATTCCGTACCACTGCCCTTACCGGAATTTAAATGCCCGTAGGATAAAGATTAATTAAGAATTAATTTTGTAAAAGATATTTGGTTATTATTAGATAGTAAACCGCATTTTCATACCTTTGTTGACTTCTTGTATTCCATTTCATTAAAATTCGTTTCGTCCCATAATATTTCTCCCCTGGACAATCTGAAATTTGTGCATATTGCCTTAATTGTACCAAAGGTTCAGTACGTGTCTGATACCTTTGGCGGATTTCGATAAACTGGAAAACGTCCAAAAGGAGTTTGCTAATTTATGCTAAAATTGATTCATTCCGTTCAGCTTTCCTTGAAGTTATATTCAGTATTTGGTGATATAGAGATGAAACAAAACATGTATCATCCACTGTTGCAGTATTGTGACTTGTTGCATCTAACTAACTAACTAACTCCAAGGAGATGAGCCCTTCTTGAGAAGCTGCCTCTCACACATCTACTCAAGAATTTCCCAACATTTCATGGAACCCAAAGGTTCATTACCGTGTTTACAAGCCCTGCATTGGTCCCTGTCCTGATTCAGAACAAGCCAGTCCATCCACCACATCCTAGCTATCTAAGATCCATTTTAATATTGTCCACCCCCCTACATCATGGTCTTCCTAGTGGTCTCTTTCTTTCTGGCTTTCCTAGCACGATCCTATATGTATTCCTCTTGTACCCCATTCGTGTTACATGTCCTGTTCATCTCATCTTCCTTTACTTGATCATTCTAATTATACTTGGCAAAGAGTACAAGTTATGGAGCTCCTCATTATGCAGTTTTCTTCAACCTCCTATCACTTCATCTCTCTTCTGTCCAAATATTCTCCCTCAGCACCCTGTTCTCAAACACCCTCACTCTGTTCCTCCCTTAATGTCAGAGGTCACGTTTCACTCCCATACAGAACCACAGGTAAATTATAGTTTTGTACTTGTTAGTATGTTCTAATTTTTATTATTTTAGACAGCAGATGAGAAGACAGAAACTTTGTTTTGGACTGCATGGTAGCAGACATTACCCAAATTCAGTCTCTTAATTTCCTCTTGAATGAGGTTTTGACTTGTTACTGTCATTCCCAAATATCTTAACTGTGCCACATTTTCAGAGGATATGTTGGCTATTTCTTTGTCATGATTTTGCCCTGCATTCTGGTGATGTGACAGGAATCTATAATTAGTTTTCTCTTTGTTTCTGTTTTGACCAACCTACTTACTAGTGTCAGTTAAAGTTTCTGTGAGTTTCTTTGTAGTATCTATGTTATCTCCCAATAGATTCACATCATCAGCATAGACCAGCAGCTGATTTTCCCGTTTTATTGTAAGTCCCACCTGGTTTCCCCGGACATTCCTAATGGCATATTCTAAAGCAAAGCTGAAAAGCATCTTGTTTCAGACCGTTTTATTCTTCATATAGTAGCTTATGCTTTTATCAGTAACAAAAGCTAGGAAGTTACATGCTGAATTAAGGTAATGTTTTAACTGTTGTGTGTAATAAATTTGTTGCAGACTATCTCCTGAGTAATAACCACGTCAATTCTATAATCGTGCATAAGTTTGATTTCTCAGATGAAGAAGTGATGGCCTACTACATCTCATTTCTTAAAACTCTATCTCTGAAGTTAAATGCCCATACGATCCACTTTTTCTATAATGAGGTAAGAAAGGGTTTACCAGAGGATGTGCCGGTGTGGCTGTATCATTACAGTAATTCTTAAAATCTGGGCATAGTACGTGTACCATGCTGGTTGCCTCACCAGGAAACTGACAGTGGTACATGTACCATTGTAAATTTAAAAATCTACAATAAAAGAAGTATCTGCAATATTGACATAGAATTTTTACTGTCAACGGCACAAAGCTTTATGGGTAAAAAGCAGAGGTCGCTGTGTAATAGCAATGTGAAGTGATGCAGTGTACATTAAATTGTTGCATTTGCTATGTATCGGTTTTGTATATTCTTTCTCTTCATCACTGAATGCCCCCCCTCAATTGTTCCAACTGTTCTCTTGTTGAAACGTGAGTTGATTAAGAAGAGGTCACGTACTGTCCTAAGAATAGTTCACTATGCCATTGAATGATATGGTCCTAGTTTATTTTGTAATATGTTCAGCATCAGTATTGCCCTGTATTTTAAAGTGACTACCTTTTATTTTTTATCCTGCATGCAATGTTTTCCTCACATGTGTGAACATTTCACAACTTATGTGCCAGAATTGACAAAATTATGACTTTTCTGTGCCCCTTTAATCCCCCATCACAGGAGAAATGAGTGTTTACATTGCACCAGCTACAGAATATTAATTGTTTGGGTATAGTTGGTCATTGCATGGGTCCACTCAATTTGAAATTGCAATTGACTATTGTTAAAGGGCAAATTATCCACTTTGTGGAGTAGACACGGAGATTTTTATGTGTTTAATTGCTTTGAATTATGTCGTCATATTGTAGTCGATTAGGAGGCATGTGGTAGAGTAGTTGGTTGAGGCACTATGCTACAAGCTGGAAGGTCATGGGTTCAAGTTCCAGTGATGTCATTGGGTTTTTTCAATTGACCTAATCCTTCCAGCCGCTCTATGGCCGACTCAGCCTCTAACAGAAATGAGAACCAGTAATATTCTTGGAATGTTCTTGGGGGTAAAGGGTGGCTAGTGCGTAGGGCTGACAACCTTGCCGCCATCTATTGGCCGATTGTCTAGAAAATGTGGGAACGTCAACATCTCACAACCCTATGCTCCTCCACAGCCTGCGACAGGGATACCTTTATTTTCACTTTACTTACTTTATTGTAATCGATTGTGGCTGAGCCCTAACTGTAGTCAGAATTATGGTTTTTACATCTTGCACATATTGTTCATGTTTTATAGTATCAACAGACTTTCTTTGGGAGGCGGAATGGTGTAGTCAGTATAGCGATTGGCTATGGGCTGGATGACTGGTAGAAGTTCGAGTCCCAGTAAAAAGTAAAGTAAAGGTATCCCTGTAACAGGCCATGGAGGTCCCTAGGGTTATGAGATGTTGAGGTGCCCACATTTTCTAGACAATCGGCCCGTAGATCGCGGCAAGGTTGTTAGCCCTACGCGCTGGCCACCCTTTACCCCCCAGAAAATATTCCTGGTACTCATTTCTGTTAGAGGCTGAGTCGACCCCAGGGCCATAGTGCCACTGGAAGGATTAGGTCAATTGAAAAAATCCAGTGACCTCATCAAGACTTGAACCCGCAACCATTTGGCTTGTAGCATAGTGCCTCAACCAACTACGCTATGGCATGCCCCTTCAAGTTCCGGTAGGCTCAAGAATTTTCTCTTCTCCAGATCATCCAGGCTGGCTCTGGGGTCCACCGAACCTCCTATTCAGTGGGTACCAAGGGCTCTTTCCCCAGGGGTAAAGCAGTAGGGTAATGAAGCTGACCACTCACCTCCAGTTAGTGTTGAGGTCAAGAAAATATGGATCTATACATCCACTCCTCACTCCTCCATATGCCTTCATGATGTAGTGCTTAAGTCATCGAGCACAGGGACAGCTTACCTTTTACAGACTTTCTGTTTTATGTTGCTGGGTTGTTTGCTAGTACCCTTCAATTCAGGTGGCAAGTTGCTGCATTCACAGCAGTCACCATTACGCAGAGCTGGAGGATGTGTACAGAAGGCGTATAATGTTAATTGTAAATCAAAACTTGATCTAGTTAGCAATGTAAAGAAGGCTGTTTTATAAAATATGTTTCTATTATGGAGTAGGTGATGGTAGTGTTAATGACATCAGTTAATTATGTAATATGTTTGCAGATGAACCATAATTTTAAATTGAAGGAAGAATTATATAGTGTGAAAATGGATGATCAGAAGTTTGGTGTGTCATAATTAAATAACTATTTTTGTGATATTTTAAGTACTTCTGTTCTGTGTTAGCTATTAATATTTGTTTTGTATTTTTTGATGAAGCATACAAATGACTTCCCATTATATACTGAGGCAATCAAATTCTTCAACCATCCAGAAAGTATGGTGCGCATTGCTGTGCGAACATTGACACTTAATGTGTATCGGGTGGAGGACAAATCCATGCTCAAGTTTATCCGTGATAAAACAGCTGCCCCATACTTTTCTAATTTGGTATGGTTCATTGGCAACCACATTCTGGAATTGGATACCTGTGTTCGCAATGATGCAGAGTGAGTAGATATTTTAGTTCTATGAAAATCTTTTATAATGTGGTTATAAACTTTGGTCTGATTGTAGTACTTTCAATGAAAGCTGCCTTTCCTTTCATAAGTATCCTTTTGCTCTGGAAAAGTGAAGCTAAGGTAAGTGTGTTGTTCCATATATATTGAACAAGAGTGCAGATATGTTTAATGGCTGAAAGACAAAGTAAATTAGCAATTACAGTGGCTATGCATAATCAGTGAGATGAGAGTAGGAGTATTTTGAGAAGTTTGTGTGTTAGAGATTGACCCTGTTGTCATTTTATTTAAAAAGTGATATTTCTGTCTTAAAATATGTCATGTTATCTGATGTGTTCTAAGGATAGGTATTTGAAATGTTAATGGTTATTTGCAGTCACCAGAGTCAAAACCGATTGTCAGACTTAGTTGCGGAGCATCTGGACCATCTGCACTACCTGAATGACATTCTTAGTCTGGATATTGAAGATCTGAACCAGGTGCTAACAGATCACCTGCTTAACAAACTCCTTATACCTCTGTATGTTTATTCACTCACCAAACGCAGACGCCACTCTCAACTGGAGGTAATTGGTTTGCTGCTAAAATTGTAACTATTAACATATAAAAAAGATAAGCCTTCAGACCAGTGTTTTTAAATTAAACCCTCAGTAAAGTCTGTATAGGTAAACATTTGTCTGATAATTTTCCTATCCAAAATGGTCTGAAACAAGGAGATGCTTTATCACCACTGCTTTTCGTCTTTGCTTTAGAATATGCCATTAGGAAGGTCCAGGAAAACCAGGTGAGACTGAAATTAAACGGGACACATCAGCTGTTGGTCAATGCTGATGATGTGAATCTACTGGGTGATAATATAGATACCATAAAGTGAAACACACAAACTTTTAATTGATGCTAGTAAGGAGGTTGGCCTAGAAGTAAACACAGAGAATAGTAAGTATATGTTGCTGTCTTTTCACCAAAATGCAGGGCAAAATCATAGCATAAAGATAGCTAACGGATCCTTTTAAAATATGGCACATTTCAAATGTGTGAGAACAACAGTAACAAAACAATTTGATTCAGGAAGAAATTAAGTGGAGACTGAATTTGGGTAATGCTTGCTACCATTCAGTCCAAAACATAGGTTCTGTCTTTTCATCTGCTGTCTTAAAATTGTAGAAATTAGAATATAGAAAAATATAATTATGCCTGTGGGAATTTATGGATGTGAAACATGGTCTCTGACATTAAGGGAGGAACGTAGACTGAGGGTGTTTGAGAACAGGGTTTTGAGGAGAATATTTGGACCGAAGAGGGATGAAGTGACAGGAGACTGGAGAAAACTGCATAATGAGGAGCTTCATAACTTGTACTCTTCTCCAAGTATAATTAGAATGATCAAGTCAAGGAGGATGAGGTGGGCAGGGCATGCAGCGTGAATGGGGGACAAGAGGAATGCGTATAGGATATTGGTGGGAAAGCCAGAAGGAAAGAGACCACTAGGAAGTCCAACATGTAGGGGGATGGATAATATTAAAATGGATCTTAGATAGGATGGGGGTGGTATGAACTGGCTTAATCTGACTCAGAATTTGAACCAATGGAGGTCACTGTCAACACCGTAGTGAACCTTCAGGTTCCGTAAACTGTTGGACAGTTCTTTAGTAGCTTCATGACTGGTGGCTTCTCAAGAAGGGCTCAGCTCCATAGAGTTAGTTAGATAAGCCTTCAGACAGGTAGATAAATTCCATTATAACTTATGTCAGAAGCTTTATACATTTATTGAATTTTAGCAACAGGTCAACAGAATTTTGAGACTGTTTCATTGGATATTAAGAGCAATCTGTTCTTGGGTAGAACAGTATTATTTTAAGAACTTATTCTGTTCTGGCCAATAAATTATGCCTGAGATAATGTTCTTTTAAAGTTTCATTCTTTGTCCTGTGACATTGCGTAGGACACAAAGCCTCATGTGAGTAGCGTGGTGTCACTATTCCTGTTGTCACAAGTGTTCCTCATCATCACACATGTGCCTCTGGTTTACGTTCTGGCATCTATCATCCTTACTGGTGACATGGACATCTTTTCCCAGGGAGCATCTGAGAACCTTGTTTCATACCGTGTGGCACAGGTGAGCTATGCATGAATGTGATGATATATCTGTTACAATTGTTTGAAGTTGCCTGATATGTAGTGTCCAAATTGGCAGTGTATTCATAGTGGGTTCCAGGGTTGCTGATTTCTGCTGATATTGAAGGGGTTTCTCTTTTGGGATGTAATGCTGTATGGTTGTTGAAATTCATCTGACATTAAAGAGGAGAATGTCACCATATTCAGAATTGAAGAGTAAAATACAGTTAGCTTCACAATGAACTCTTGATCATCAGCTATAAAGGATTTAGAAATAGAATGGATAATCCATAAATCATTAAATAACCACTATCCTTTCTGCATCCACTCTGAAAATCACCTGATTATTGCTGTTAAGTGCCTTATCACTAAACAGTAAGACAAAAATCTTACCTGTAAAAGACAGCAGTCTTTATAGGATTTGAAATTTTCACATTGGTGGTTATTAAGAGTTCTGTCTTCTGGGCTGTAATTTCATGCAGTCCAACGAAAGTCACCTGACGTTTCCGAGGAACATGTCACCTCTGAAATGTCAGGCTACTTGGCATTATATCCCCGAAGGTATAAGTCTTCGAAGCAATCTTTGTTCAGTTCTGTTAGGCTGAAGATAGATGCAATAAAATAATGAAGTAGATAGTTACAGTCTGGTTAGAAGGAGCACAGTCTCCTGAAAATCATCAAAAAGCATCAGTGATGCATATTACTGAGAAGCCGTTGTCGGTAAATAAAGTGTGCTAAAGGCACTGTGGTTAGTCTACAAAGCATGTAATCTGCACTCATGCAATCAAGAGTTTGCTGTATTTTGTTATTTAGGGCACAGCAACAATCAAGCCTGGCTTTGTGGCTCCAACAGAAACACTGGAAAAGTCACTGGAGAGTAGCACCACTTGCTCAATAGATTCGACAGAGCATGAAACTCCCCAACATGCTGAATGTGAGACAGGAATGGACACACAAGGTAAACTGCATATAGAGGTCGCTCCCAGTTGTCCGTGGGCAGTGAACACAGTAACTGCAGAAAGTGTATAGTCACAAATCTCAACTTTGGGCAGCTTTACATTGTAACATACAGAATTTGTTTTGCTAATTTCTTTTCACAGAAAGGAATTAGAACAGATAGCATGTGTTTATGTATATCACTTGATATTCATATGTGTAATTAGTTTGAATAGCATCCGTGTGGTCTTTGTTCATTGTCATTACATTTTGTTACAAACATATTACAGCAACAATTATTGTATTAACACTGTAGTAACATACAGTGCAACAATTTTGGGAAGGTAGACAGGCACCTGATAATGGCCGTATATGGCCGAAACGTTTAGTGATAGGGAATACAAGTAAATACGTTAACCCTTTGACGTGGTCATTTAAATTCCGCGGCCGCGGCTCCTGCGGTAATATATTCAGCCGGCCATTTAAATTTTGCTCGAAAATTATTNTGCAACAGTATGCTTAAATATGATATTATAAAATCATCTGTCATGACACACTTTGTAATAACAAACAAGCAGTGAAATTAAGTTTATTTTGTGCAAGTGAAAACTTAACGGTGAAATATGAATATTCTGTTGGCTCTTATCTGTAAAGAATGGTGATATTGTCAGTAAATAAGTTAAAGAAAGATATCCCTGTAACAGGCCATGTATGACCATATGGTTGTGAGAGGTTGAGGCTCCCACATTTTATACACAGTCGGCTCACAGATAGCAGTGAGGTTGGCAGCCTTATGTGCTGGCTGCCTTTTACCCCCACATGAAGATTTCTGGTACTCATTTCTGTTAGAGGCTGAGTTGACATAGTGCAGGTGGAAGTATTAGGTCAATTGAAAAATCCAATGATTTCAGGAATTGAACCTTTGGCCTTCTGGCTTGTAGCATAGTGCCTCAATCAAGTATGCTGTCATGTGTCCCTGTTGTCAGTAGATCAGTACTCTTAAATTTTATATATTTTTGCAGCATTTTACTTTTGTTCTCAAGCATACTAGTACCAACATGAAATGGTAGGCGGAAACAGCATTTCTAATGGTGTTTCAGTCTGATCAAGCAGTATGTACATCACAGTAAATGTTGCATAATGTTTAATTTCTTTTTTCTCTTTTAAGTATCAGGAATTGTATTTTCGCATTTTATTCATGTTTTCCTGAAATTGATTTATTGCTGTCATTGTAATAATAATTGAATGTCTTAAGAAAATGTTACATTCACTGTTTTCATTGTAAAATCATACTTCTTGTACCCCGCAGTAGGAGATTCAGAGCCATCTGCTGTTGCTGAAGATGGAACAGTGGATTCCATAGAAGCATATGTCAACATTACAGATGAGGAGAAGGAACAGCGGCTTGCTCTTGGTGAATATATCGGTTTTCTTTAATATTGTTCTTAGAACATTTTAATTTTCAAGTATTCAAAGAATTTTAGTTGAAGAGGCAGTATTAAATAAAAAATAATAAAAATAGTATAACTTATAATTTTGATTTCAGTTTTTTAAAACAGAAAAAATCTGTCGTGGACAATGTGTCATTGCTTAAAAAATGCTGAAGTGAGAAGATTAATATTTTGTTCTGTAGTCTCCAATTTTTGTGTCTGATTCAGTTTAATGTCTGTTTCTTTTCACAGCCTTTCTATACTGTTGCATTGTCTACTTATGTTATATTTTCCTTTCCATCCACTTTATTTCATATTTAATTCATTATAGTGTTAGATAATAAAGCGGAAAGTTTATTTTTCTGGCCTTATTCATCTCCTGATTTTGTACCTTCGGAATTTTTCATTTCACAGCATTTATTCTTGTAATACATTATATGTCAGTAATCATGATAATGTGGTTTCTGTGTTTGGAATAGAGAGTGGTGTTGCACCACCATTGCCTTTGGCTGGTACTTCATCTGGTAATAGCTCTCAGCAACAGTTTTTGGCAAATAAACCATTTCTGGAGATGATCGTCAACACATTGCAGTGCTCCGAAAATGACTATGCAGCTCTGTTTGCTCTTTGTCTCCTGTACGCTCTTGGACACAACCCAGGTACAGCAGAAAACAGAAAAGTCTTGCAGTTTGTTTCTTCAAGAATTGTAATGACTGCTGTTATGCAGTATTTCTGTTATTTGTGCCCCTGGTCTTTGATGTCAGCTTGGTGAAATGAATTTCATTCAGTGGCTCTCATCTATTCATTTAAAAATAAATTCAGAATCAGTTAAACTTTATTTTTGGAAATGTGTGCTCATCATTTGGTTGAAGCGTTTGCAAAAATATTTCCTTCTGTTCTTAACAAAATACTATGAATTGAAGTCCATAGTGTTGTATACCTTGTTTCAAATTTAAAATAAATGAGAACTCTGCAGTTCATTTATGTGAGTCATGTATTTGCTTGAAATTCAGTAGTTCTATGTTGTTAAAAGTCATGCAGTTTGAATTTCATGATTTTGAATATACACTTATACAGGGTGATTCATATATAGAACCGGCCCGACGAAATGAGGTGTAATATAAAATATACCATACAGATATTAAAGTAATTTACACATATCTTATCTTGGATTGTGTGCCATGATCAGAGCAGGTGTTGAAAGTGTCCGCCGTTTTCAAGTAGGCATTAGAAACACTCGCTGTTGAACAGTGTACTCCATGACTGTCGCCTGCCCGCTGCAGACACGTTTCGGCGGCATTGTCCTTGACCTTACAGCATAAGGGCTGCCACTTGCCGGATCATGCACACACCATTCGACTCAGCACGGCCCACGGATTATTATGTCGTAATTGTGAGTGGTTATATGCATCACCTGTGGAATTGTTAGCAAATTCATCAGGCCGGTTCTATACGATTCACTCTGTATTATGTTTAAAAAGATGGTGAATTAATTTAAAGTTAAACAACTGATATAATGATGAACACTTGTTAAAATAAGAGTATTTGTCTCATAACATATCTGTCACTCAGAACACATGCAGTGCCAGACAGACAAGCTTGATTGCATGTCAGATTTAGCTTTTATGGGCTTATGTTCAGTTTCATCAGCACCAGTTTTCCTTGTTATTGGTCCTGTTATCTCCCAAAGCACTTCTTGCAAATGATGCAGAAGTGGTTAAACATAAATGACAACTGCTTTTCTTCCTAATACAGAAATAAAATATTAGTATTAACATGGTTGCAGTTATGTGTTGTTTTACATGAGTGTGAAACTTGGTGAATCATCTTAAGCAAAGGACAGAGGGGAAGTAACAGGAGGCTGGAGAAGCTTGCATGATGAGGTGCCATAACTTTTACTCTTCAATAAACATTGTTAGGTGATCAAATCAAGGAGGGTAAGATGGACAGGACATGTGACACACACAGGAGAAGTGCATACAGCATTTTAGTTAGGACATCTGAAGAAATCACATTGGGGACATATTCCTAAATAGTAGGATAATAATGAATCTTACAGAAATAGTTTGTGAATAATTGGATGATATTGATCTGGCTCCAGACAGAGACCAGTGACAAGTCCTTGTGAATGTGGTCTCATGAAAGGTATAGTATTTCTTGACTGGCTAAGTGACTATTAGCTTTTCAAGGGCTGCTCTGAGGAGTTTGTTACAACAGTAATCCACTGTAACAATAAATATCATTGAGAATGTTAAATTTCAGAAACAGACAACAGTTCGAAGAGCACTGTCTTCACGGATGTGACGCTGTGTAGTTTGGTAGATATTTACTGATAATTCAGAGGAACATGCTGCCTTCATTTCTGGGGTAGAAGTGTGATCAAAGTAGCTTATTTGTAGGCTTCTGAACTGGAGGGCGATGCATGGAGTAAGCTCCACAGAGGATTGGGAGAGATTTGAGGTTCTCACAGCATTGTTGATGATTAGTGTATCTGGGATGTGAACATCAGTAAACATCTACCTGAATGCATGGTGTCACATCTCAGAAAATGCTGATCTTCATAGTCACCATAAATCTTATAAGCAGTTGTATCTTTAGTGTATCTTTATCCATGTACTGGTATGTTCCAGGTGTAAACAGAGATCTGCTGGATGGAATTCTCTTTCTGTCGGGTAGAGAGAGTACTAAGCACTGGTACAGTACACTGTTAGCAGAGAGGCTCATCAGGATTATATCAACTAGTTGCCAGCCAAGTGAGTGATTTCAGTATTGTCCATTACAGTGAAGAAAGCATTAGTAAGCACAATGAGTTATATAGTGAATACAAATTTGAATGACCGCCTCTGTGGTCTAGTGGTCACAGTTCCTGGCTAGAGATCCAGAGGTCCAGGGTTCGATTCCCAGCCCTACCAGATTTTCTGAGATGTAGTGGGTCTGGAATGGGGTCCGCTCAGCCTTGTGAGAATAATTGAGGAACTGTTTCAAGGAAATAGCAGCTTCGGTCTAGAAAACCGAGATTAACTGCTGTGGAGATCCATTGCACTGACCAAGCAACACCCTCTGTCCACAAAAAGTTGGCATTAACTTCGCCGACAAGTGGTGGTTGCTCAGTTGGTGTAGTTTAATTGTGGACTATAGGCCACAGACACATACAGATTTGAACAAAACTGTGGAAGAGGAGGAGTCAGGATAGCTCAGTCGGCATAGTGATGGGCTATGGGCTGGATGTCCGGAGTTTGAATCACGGCAGGGACAAGAATTTTCTGTTCTCCACAATCTCCAGACCGGCTCTGGGCCCCACCCAGCCTCCTATCCAGTGGGTACCAGGAGTGATTTTCCTGGGGATAAAGCAGCTGGGGCCTGAAGCTTACCACTCACCTCCATCTAGCACCAAGGTCAAGAATGGTGGAACTATGCCTCCACTTCGTCATGTATCTTCATGGCAGAGTACATAATTAATTAGGCACTGGGACAGCTTTACCTTGTTTTACTTACCTTTACTGTGTAAGGCCAGAATATTAACCAGTGTAATTCAGAATTAATTGATTCATGTGGAAAGTCAAGTATATGTTTCAAAATTGTTCTACTTATGTTCATTTTTATTTGAGTTTTGATAGTATGTCATTTAATTCTCAAGAATAGTTCTATAAAGACACAATCTTACTACTTGTAGGAAGTAGAGTTCAGTCATACTTTCACTTTCAGTGAATTTATTTTCTGTAAAATATGTTGTAATTATATTACCCTTTTTTTTAATGATGTGGGAAACTTTGGTCTTCTTAAATTTATTGTAAATATGTTCAATTAATCCAAATTCATCCTTGTTTTCTTTCCCATGCAGATTGTCGAGTACGTCTTGTTACATTAGAGCTGAGTATCCGACTATTGACACAGTTGGTCATGAAAAATGGTCAAAGTTACCTTCATGATGCTCACCTGGCTGCTGTTGAGGGCGCTAAAGAGGAAAGCACGTGCCTTCTTCGCAACTTCTACAAGGTAAATATTCCATTGGCATGAAATAGGTTCTAAAGATTAATTAAATGTGCTGATCTTGTTGCGTGGCTGCTTAAATTCATACTTGTTCCTGTGATGAGATGTCATATTTTTGCAAATAATGTAAACAGAAAAGCAAAGCAATTTTATGGGTTATTTTATGAGGGTATCTGTAGCTAGGCTGTGTAACATTTGATTATGGTAGGGTAATAGACTAATGCTGAATTGGAAGACGGAAGTTCTCTGTTTAGAACTGCCACCTGAAGAACAGAGATATAAATTAATTTATTGCTTTAATAGAGGAAGTAAGGAATGGAATGAAGTTACTGGAAGAAGCAGAAGAAACGATGAGAGGGGTTAAGGATAAAGATACAAAAGAAATAATTTTACATTGAATTTCAATAGGCTTCTCCACCAGTGTCATTAGTCATCCACAATCATGTGGGTGCTTACATTTGAGTATGTTCATATGCAGTATAGTTTAATGGGGCTGATTTCAAGTACTGGTGTAGCAAGCATGAACTGAAATAGACTTTAAAGGATTCTGACGATGGTGTATGCTGTACAGAAGTATAATGTTTATTTTGGACTCTATCCATCGTCTGGTATATATAAGACAAAAACCACAATGTTTCGGAGACTGGATCTGTCTCCGTCCTCAGGTGGGTAGGGCAGGATAAACCTACTCAGTTGGGCCCGTTAGAAAGAGCTAGTCTCAATCACTCGTCCACGTCCACCTGAGGATGGAGACAGATCCGGTCTCCGAAACGTTGTGGCTTTTTGTCTTACATATACCAGACAATGGATAGAGTCCAAAATAAACGTTATAGTTCTGTAAAGGATGAAATGATATTGTGACATGTTGTACACATGCTCTGGTCTAGACTAAATTGCTTTTAGGGGTCAGCATACATATTTATGAGAGGGAGAGAGTTTGGGGATGGAAAAGTGTTAATCGGATTTTCAATCATGACAATGTTAGAGAGTACTGAGATTATTTAGAATGTGAGCAAGCCATTCAGTCAGTATCTGTAAGTATATATAATACACAGTTTTTTTTTGTATTTCCTGTAGCACACAGGTTAAGGCTTTCTGCACTACAAAGGTTCATTGTAATTATCTGTAATATACAGAGTGAAGAAATATTCCTGGACATGTTTGAGGACGAATACAGTGAGATGCAGAAGCGACCTCTTAATGTTGAGTGGTTGATGATGGATTCCAACATCTTGCTACCTCCTACAGGGACTCCGATGACAGGCATTGAATTCAGCAAACGATTGCCTTGTGGAGAGGTGAGTTTTGGTTGTGTCGATATCAGAGTTGGAGGGTAAGCCCAGTAAACAAGCAGAGTAAGCTGAGTGAAAGTGGCCTCCGTAGTCTAGGGGTAACGTTCCCACCTCATGACTCAAGGTACGCGGGTTCAAAAACCAGGCGGAGGTCGTGGAATTTTTGAGGGCGGAAAAATTCAGGGAACAAGTCCTCTGGGAGGGACTTTAAGCCGTGGGTCCCGTGTTGTAGGTTTACGGCACGTAAAAGAACCTCATGTCTCTAGGAGACCTCTGAGCAAAATTAGGCCAAGTTTCCCGCCCAACTAGTTTCCAATTCCTCCGGTAGATGGGGGAAGTATCAGGTACCACTGCCAGAGGAGGGGGGACCTCTCTGGCAGAAAGGGACTAAAGTATTAGATACCACTGCCAAGTAGAGGGTAGAAACCTTGCTGGCAGAAAGGGACTAGGAACCCCTGCTAGAGAAGGGACGACCTTGCTGACAGAAAGGGACTAACTATTAGATACCACTGCCAGTAAGAAGTTGGAACCTTGCTGGCAGAAAGGGGCTGATAGTAAGCACCAGTACCGGTAGGGTATGGAGACAGTAGAAATTAAAGGGGGATGCACAATGGACCAGTAACCGGTCTAAGTGCATGGGGAAACCCACCCCCTCAATACAGACGGAAGCTGAGTGAAGAAAGAGAGGTACAGATATGTACTGGATAGGATCATTAGCCTAACCTATACGAATAAAGAGGAGACATGCCATAGTGTAGTTGGTTGAGGCATTATGCTACAAGACGGAAGGTCGCGGGTTCGAGTCTCGAGGGATTTTTTTCATTTAACCTAATCCTTCCATTCGCACTATGGCCCTGGGTTCGACTCAACCTCTGACAGAAATGAGTACCACAAATCTTCCTGGGGGGTAAAGGGCGGCTGGTGCATAAGGCTGACAACCTCACCGGCATGTGTGAGCCGATTGTCTAGAAAATGTGGGACCCTCAATATCTCACAACCCTATGGGCCTCCATGGCTTGTTACTAGGATAGCTTTACCTTTTATAAGAATAAGGAGAAAATTGAATGGATAGGTCATATAAGAGTTGTTTTTCGTCCAACGTTAGAAGTGGGAAGTCTATGTAGGCTTGAGAACTTAAAGAGCAGAAAATGGAGTGACATGAAAAGGAGGAGAGCCCTAAAACAGTTGGGAGGGGAGACAAGGCAATGTCCAAGGCTGTAGGCAGAGTAGGGAAAGGGATGAAGAAGAGCACTGACAGGGTTGGAAGACAGGCAAGACTAACCGGGGCTAAACACAGGATACAGACAGGGATAAAAAGAAGTAGCAGGAATTAGTATGCTGATGAGTGCAGCCCCATTGTTTGAAATCCTAAGAGCTTCCTACATTCTTTCAGGGGTAGGTGAGAGGTTTCTGTTATTTCTATAGGCAGAACCCATCATGCATGTTCATGTTGTTGGGATGAATCTCCACCGATGACAGAGTACATGTATCTGGATTTAGTGGAAAGTATACTGGTGTTTTGAAGCTAGGCACAATGTGCCGTGTTCATACTGTGCCCTGCCATATATAGTGACACGCCTAATTAGTCGAGAACATCTATGCAGTGAATTATGTGTGCTCTTGTGTCCAAGTTCTTTGTAACTAGTTAAAAAACAGTGTTGTAACATAGTCATTAATTGTTATTTTAGCAAAAAATATGAACATAGTTTCTTATTTCAATGTCTATCTTCATTGAGAGGGAAGATCCAGAGAAACAGTCTTTGCATCCATAATCAGCCAACTTTCAGTGATGGCTGGAGATCAGCACAATCAAATGACAACTCATTCAATTGCATTTAAATTTATTTTACTGGTAAGTTAATAGAATTATTCTCTGGATATTTTGATCACCTTATTATCTCAGTTTGAGACAAAAAAATTAATGACATTTTACGAGCCAGCTGTGTAACCGTCAGCAGGTCAGGCAAAGGTGCACATACTCGGTGAGGCATTTTAGATAATGGTAAGCCATGTTATTGATGACTGAAGTTATGATAAATATGGAAAGAGTGTCTTAATTTAACTCCCCATGTTTATTGGCCTATATCTAATTCCATAGGTGGAGAGAGCCCGGCGTGCTATACGTGTGTTTTTCTTGATTCGGGAGCTGTCCCTGATGTTGGCAATGGAGCCAGAGACACAACTGCCGTTAACCAATCCCCAGTCCTGTGTTCATGTCAACAATGTATTGGATCTCAGTAAGTTAATTAGTTAATAGTGAATGAAACTACTAAACTTATCTAAATTGTCATTAAATGATGTTAAAATGTAAGGTTGTTCTGTGACAGAAGAGTAATGGTATCAGAGCGCTAGGTCCTACCATTTATTTACTGGAACTTCTCAAATTTAACATAATTTAATATAGCCTTGGAATGGTCTGTGTCTGAAAAAAAAATGTAAAAGGCAATTTGGTAAGACCATGAAATTAAAATTAGCAGTCCCGAAAGTATATATCTCTGTTGCTCCCATTTTGGAGCATAGGGCATCTGTGAAATGCTTTATTTTACTTCAATTTCTTAATCTTAGACAGTCAGACTCCTTGGATGGGGGATCAGCCGCATGCAAAGCCACTACCTACACAGGACAACACAAACATAGAATAAATGCAGACAAACATCCATGCCTTGAGTAGGATTTGAATCCAAGATCCCACTATTCAAGAGGGCAAAGACATTTCATGCCCTAGACAATGCAGCCACTGTGATTGGTGAAAGTTTGTATAGATATGGCTAATAAACACAGTCACAGATTTTTGCACAACACATTTGTATGTGTCAAAAATCACATGTAGATATGGTAAGGCCGTGAAACTTTGAGAGTATATCTGGAAAATTTAGAACATTGGTGATCCATGTTAATGGATATTATGCAGAGAAATGGCTCTCTAAAATTGTAAACTTGTTAATATATATTTTCTGCTAGTCATTTATAGAAGCCTGGCATCATAAATTTTTCTTGCCTCTTCTGTTCCCATAGCTTAATACTAACATTCTTTGCAATATGAAATTCTTTATTTGATGCAGATAACAGTGACTTGATAGCATGTACAGTGGCAACCAAGGAAGGCTCAAAGATTCGTCGCTTCCTTGTGATAGATGTGATCCAGTTGATTCTGGTAGAGCCTGATACACGCCGGCTTGGTTGGGGTGTTGCCAAATTTGTTGGCTTTCTGCAGGTTTGTGAATAATCATGCAGTTTCAGTAAGGTATAGAACTAATTCCCATTTTTCAAGTAAAGTATTAGTTTTGTATTACTTTATAACTATAGTCTCCCTTGCAGTGTTCTCTTATTTAAGGTTTTTCCCGCATTTAATGTTCAGTTTCAGTAATCCAGAGTCAGTAATTTCAATCATATTATTACTTTTTAAGATTTTTTTTAAGTTAGTGTTCAGATCCAATGTTCCACTGTGGATCCAGCATTTGCACCAGTAACTTGATATCTCCAGCTGATTTTGTTGGGCCATTTCCCACATTTTATATTTTAGTCCATCATCCATTGTAGAATCTTAAAATTTCTTTATGAGTAAATCTTCCTTGCATTCAAATGATATGTTCTAACATTTTCTTTTAATGTCTGCAGACTTTACAGTTTGTTGGAGTGAGTGAAAATGTAAAGTGATATTTTTCTGTTACATGATGCCCTGAAGGTATGCAGAGGAATAATATAAATTTAATTTTATATCCTGTTCTAGCTTTATGTTTTGCAGTTTTATGGCAATGTATAGAATAAATTCATGCATAGCAAAAATCATTTTAAAATCGTAATCCATACTGTGAAATTTAGAGTAATCTATTCATAATTATCATCTTCTGAATGCAACTTGGTACATATACATTCACAGGATCCATGAAGATCTACAAATAAACACAGTACTCAGTGAAATAAGAAACGGGAATACCAAATACTTAAGAAAATTAGAAAACCACACTAACACTAGCAGTGAACCTACTAAACAATAACAAAACTAGACATAGACTGAAGAGATACACAGTCCTAACTCTACCAGACCTGAGTAAAACCCCAGTACAAGCATTAAAAGTGAACATTAAGTGATGAAAAAGAAAACAAGTATATGATTTATGCCACTGGGCATAACTCATTCACAAGGCAGTACTTATTGAACATATACATTTGTAGCAGACCCTGCAGATTATGTATAATAAATGTGTAAAAAAATTATTATCTCATACTGTCAGATATTTGGTCATACGGGTTGTTAAGGTTTCCTACTGCCTCTTCAGTGTTCTTCCTATCCCCCCCCCCCC